GACGATCACATTCGGGCGCCTCAAGCAAGTAATACCATTTTTGAACCTTTTCAATAGAATAACTAGCCAGTCACCGTCTGATCCTGTCAATCTGAGTAAGAAGCGCGTTCACAGCTCGTATCGAATCTGCTGGATCTCCTCGACTTGTCGACGCGTCACGCGACATTCCCAGTGATTCTACCTATTATCGAATCATTATGACAAATTTAGCGAAATTTAGGAAAAATGTACCTCGTCAATCAGCACAAATACAAGGCATTTGCCATCTTCAGCCATTTCGTCTATTTGATCGAACATTTTCAGGACAAGTTTCCCGCTCTACAAAAAAAGCTGTTGTGTTAGAGCGCATGAGAATTCATTGAATATAACTAAAACAATCTAAACATGACCAAATTGAGGCTCTAACTCTTTGACAGAAAAAATCAAGATTGAAAGAAGAAAAGAACTGTCAAGAAAAAAAAAACTCCAAGGATGCAAAACTCGTCCAGAAATAGACAAAAAAACAAATAATTACCAAGAAATATTTGTGATAACACTCACCTCGGAAAACCATTTTGAAAACAGGCTATGGCTGTTGATTTCCACCATCACCGATGTTGAAAAACTTGCATTCAATCGGATTGATAGATGTTGAGCTATACCACGACAGAGGGTTGTTTTACCAGTCCCGGGAGGACCTAAGGTGGACTGTACAAAAAAGCAACAGAACAAATCCAATTATACAAACCTAATAATATAATGAGTCGATTTACATTGATCACTTTCATGTCGGCGCCTTTATCAGAAAGCTGGATCAGAGCATGCACATATGACATGAGCTAGAATAGAGAATAATAACCAGAAGAAAAGGTAGAATAGCTAAAAATTCGTCATTCTGAAAAAGAGTATGTGATTTACCTCATTTTTAACATCATTGTCATAGATAAGGTTTTCCCACAGGTTTTCAAATTCTGCGCATGGCAACTCCCATAGAAGTGACCCCATAGCGTTCTCGTCCGAGTTTTCATCAACTGAAGGAATATACATATCTTTTTTTATTGAAAAAACCTAGAAAAAAGAAAGAAAAGCTAGAATCATTGCAAAATTTATGCATACCTGAAAGAGATTGCGACATTGCTCCATCACAGTGAAGTTTGTAAAAGTGCACATTTTGATCACATAGACTGATTTTATCCAGAATATCGTTAAGTGGATAAGCATCCGAATAGTTCATGCAACCCACCATGATGCCTTGGATTAGCTCTGCAATGGAAATTTGCCGGTTTTTTTTTCGAATAGAGATTGCTCGAAAAGGCTCACCAGCAAGGCATCTGAGTTCATCGCTTACAACTAAGTCCTGCATCTGCGCTGGGATCCAGTTCCGAAGGCTTTTTTGTTTTTTGATGAGGGCCTCCAGCTCTGATAGTTTTCCCTCCAACTGCGACTTTGCACTGTAAAGAGTGAGTAGAATTATCTGAATAGCCAAATCTAAATTCAAAAACTACCAATGTAGAAAAAGCTCTAGTCAAGAATGATAGTTGCAATTCACTACGTAAAGTTTTTTGACTCAAAAATCCATAAAAATCACTCACACTCCTTTCTTGAGATGTACTTCAACTTGAGGTCTAAATTTTCTCGGCACTCTTTCCTCCACACCTATGCAATGTCCATTTGTAATGCATTTTTTCGGCGAACTTACTGTAGAGTCCTCACGTTCAGGAATCATTTTCTAAAATGACATACATCAACCGAACAATGTCCTTCATCATGCATTTGCTTTAATAGCCAAAAATATAGAAAAAAATCAATACGGGAACAAATATTTGAAAGGCCGAACAGCTAACAGAGTTTGCGTTTGCTTGAAATTTGCATGATATTTGAGTTATGAAAGTGGAAAGCCAAACTAATACCGTGGCAATTTGCGAATATTTAAATTATGACGCCTCCCGCGGCTGAAATTCTCAAGGTAGCGCAATAACTACGCCGCTCAGCGCAGGATTTTTTTT